AATGGATTTGAAATGGGGTATAATTAAAAATAATAATGATAGGTGTAGTCTGAGAGATGCACTACCCATTAAAGGTTTGGACACTTTCCCATTGAACTGAATAGGAAAGTAATGTCCAAAATTTTGACTGGTAATGTAGATGCAGGGCTACAGACTTAACAGTTCATACTGGTGGTACCACCTCTGTTTTACAACGTAATGCAAAATAATCTGTGCTTTTCATAAATTATTTTAAATACCTTACCATCCAAAGACTTTATTTATAATGAAATTAGTAGTTCTCTATAGCCTAGTAGTCAACATGATGATGATTAGGCTATTATATTTAAAATGAAGTATAAACTGATGAATTGCACGCATACTTGCTGTTTGCATATGTGATTTATTTGTAGCCCAATTTTATCTTCTGAAGAAGAATATCTGCTCTTTGGTGATGTCTGTGTGGGACTTCATGCACAGTTCAGCTCTCTGTCACCTGGCTAGTGCCAGCTCATTTTTGGGCTGAAGTCACTAGTAGCCTACTACTTAAAGAAGGACTGATATTGGGTTTCAGCCACTACTAACTTCAAACTGGGACTTCTCTAGATGTGAGTGGAGAGTCTGTGTGATTTATAAGTTCGATCTGTTCAATCCACACTGACTCCGACCTCCGTGCAGCATCTCTCGTCATAACAGCTGTCTGTCAGTACGGTCTCCACCAGGCTGACTGACAGCAGAAATGTAGTGGTCAAAAATGGTTTTCATGTAAAAAAAAAAAAAAAAAGCTCAAAGTGTAATAATGTGGTCCAGGGATGACGGTGTGTCTTGGAGTCGTGGATTGACACATTTGATAGATTGGAAGTCTCTGGCTCGATGGGCAAGTGACAGACCTGCAGATAAACGTTGCGATAACGGTATCGTTGAGATTGTGACATCTGTCCACTATTTTTACACTGAGAACATTGTTTGTGCATGAGCTGTGTACTTTGCAGTTGCACCCAGTGCGACCTTAGAAAAAATCAGCCAGACCTTAAATAAATTTGGTTGCAAAATGTGATTGATCAACTCTCAGTCTGGAGCCCAGAGATGAGATATGGAGTGACAAGAGTCACTGTGTGTCAACACATCATGAATCACACTGTACAGTTTATTACCAGATTTCTTATCAGTGAGTAGTAGTTATATTTATTTTTTTTATTATTTGGAAATTTAATGTGAGCAGGTGCTCACACAGCAGCAAGACATTTAGTATTCCTCTGTTCAAGCCTTCGTCAAATAGACACCTCTGCCAATTGTTTGTTTGAAGTAGTATCCATTGTGCTTATTGCAACTGCTCAGAGTTGATGTGGATTAATGAGACACACGCTAATGTTATTGCCATAATGCTGCTGATGGCTAAACAACTTAATTGCTATGAAAAAAGTATAACAAATTTAACTTATAATTTCATATTTATCATAATAGCCTCTGGCAGTGAGAGGAGAAAAATCTGGAAGCACACTTTTCCCACCCTTTGTCCTTGTTAGAACTCTCTTGCTGCTCCTGCATGTCTTGATTATGAACAGAGACTACCTTGGAGCGCAACTTCATTAAAATCTATTTAAATCAACTTCATCGGCAAAGTGCTCTTTCTTACAGCATGTACGAGCAGAAGTCTCTGGGAGCATCATTAGAGAGAGTGTGTGCATGCATGTGTGGTACTTCCTCTAAGTTTGGATAACAAGCCCCTTCACACGTGTCACCGCCCCCAATCAATTGCACCCCTGTTACTGTAAAGCTTGACAAGGTTAATGTCTGCTTTGCCTCTGCCTTGATCAAGTCGTTTCCCCTGAATTCAGCAGGTGTATTCTCACTACAAAGTGATCCGGGGTGCTCTGAAGGTAGACCCACCATCTGGGTCCTAGTAAATACTGTATGTCATCGACAGGGAAAGACCTTCAATTGACACTATGTACTAAACCTTCTGTTAATAGGGAAGTGATCCTCTGAACTTTACTCACACTCTGCAGGTTTTCCAAAGATGTGTGCCTTTCCTGAAAATGATGCTTCAGATCTGATTTCACTTTATTTGAGCCCCTTTCTCACACTGATGCAGAGCAGCCCTTTCAGGGCTTTGAAATGCAAAGGGCTGTGATGCCCAAAAATTGATATACATATTGAAATAGTTTCTTTTCCCATATCTATCTTGGAGTTAAAGATGATGTTGTGACTTAGTAATGATGATTGGTGACAGTGACTTGATGAATTGTAGCTTGGGTATGTTAAGGCCGAATGTTATAAAAATGGCAATATTATAAACATTTCCAGTTTTGAATGTTTATTTCAGGAGTCTAGAAAATATTTACATACATTTAAATGTTTATCAAACATATTTTTCTCATACTGTCTATTTTGGCAGCATCAGTTTTCACGCCTGTTTAAAACTTAACTTAATAGAGTTTAACTGCACTTCTACTGAGTATTGCCTTAGTAATTACTTGAGAACTAAAATAACAGCAGGTTTCTTCCAAAATTGGAAAGAAATTAACACCAGCAACCAAGATTAGGTTCTCTCACACTATTCTGAGGTAAATACCACAATTTATTTCATAATGTTAGATTAATATTTAGGCAAAAAACTCCAAACTGTCAACAGGAATTCTGTTTTATATTCCTTTTTTTCAGGAACATTAGTGAGAAATGACTGCAGAGTGCAGTGAGGGAGGTAGAGAGTTTGTTGTGAGGAGATTGTGCTGTTATATGTAATTTGCTAATCCGCAAGCACAGCATGTATCGTCAATACTTACTGTAACTATTGGTATGCAGGTTGAAAGAAGGATTTGTAACATATCATAAAAACCAAAAGGCTTTTCTGTACCCAGTCTGGATCATATCCTTCATTAGGGTGAAGGTTTTCTTATACTGAAGTTGTGTCAGTTGATGCTGGACCTCCATATCCATATTATTAACAAATCTTTACTCTCTTTTGTGTGCAGTAGTGTACCAACTGACTATAGAAAATATGGACGTCATGACAGCTCCCGGAAGTGAAGCTACCTCGATGCCCCTGCTGGCTGGTTGCAGTATAGGTCATAAATCCCACCTCCTCCATGTTAGCAGATGGGACATGAGCCGAAATTTGTATAGTGGAGGGAAGTAGTGACGCCATGTCCATAAAATCTAATAGCTGGTGAAATGATGACAAAGAGATCCTATTGTGATGTGCCATGAGAAGGGTACATAGGGTAACTTTGGTTTCACAAACATTGGCGGGGTAAAAACACAGGTCTAGTCACATTGCGTTAATCAGTTCACACAAGCAAAGCTTCTCACAGCCAAACAGTGTAACGGAGTGCAGCTATGATGTTTGACAATGTGGGACACACCCAGCTTTTTACTTCCAGGGATACAAACATCACCTTTTTATGTATATTTTGCTTGCTAACTGCCTTTAAAACATGAAGAGTGAGCATATGTACACAGGACCACCATACACGAGCTTCACTCTGTGTTCACAGTCAAATTGATGTGTGAGCAAACATCACATCAGAGAAATTATTTAGGTGAAAGACTGGTGCAAAGCTGGTCAAAGCTCAGTATGGAAATCATTCAGTGAGCAACGTTGCATTTCTAGCTGCTGATTGTTGCTGTTGCAGTTAAAATTTTACTCCTATCATGTCAATAAATAGTAGCATACTAGTAGCTACATTACATATTTATGCAGGAAGCCTAAAATTAACCACCAGAGGTGTTATTCTCCCACAGCACTAGTGTTACTTCTAAGCTCTGTTTCAGGATTGTACTGTACAAATGTGAACCCGGGATTAGACATAATGTTGCTGTGTGGTTAATATCAATAGCTGCAAGCTGATGAAGCAGCCATTGGCTGTGAGAGAAACTGCTTTTATTCCTTCTGCCACAACAACAGAAACACTCTTCCAGACACTTTAGTAGTTGGCATTACAGTCCCTGCAGCCTCTACTTTGTTGGCATGCACTGATGCTGGCTCAGTTGATCAACTTTCACAATGTCAGTGTTGTAAAAGTGTTCAGAACAAACTGAAACCTTGAATTTGTTTTTATAATAAGCAGTTTAGCATACATTCACCAAAGGTTTTGTAATTTTGGCTGTTTAATGTAGACGGCCAACAGTATAAGTCAGAGAAAATGAAAAACCAAATTTAAGAGGAAAAAATAACAGCATTTTTTCAGACTAGTGGTGACATAGTAGTGTCATTTTTTTTTTTTTTTTTGGACTGCGGTTATGGTCTTACTGGTTTCAAACAAGATACATTTTTACCAAGCATACACAGAAATGCACATTGTTTCTACATGAATACAGTCCGATTAAAATAATGCACTTGCTTATTGTGTACTTCCAGGATAAGCAACTTTACTCAATATTCAAATATAAATATGTATGGCAGCATCATGTATATTGGAAACAGAATCATCATTTTGTAAATTATAATAATCACAAACTGAGTTTAGAACCATTATGTTTCATAACAGAATTAATATAGCTGAGAGTCTCTAGCTCTACTGGGTCTCTAGCTTTCCAGACTGTGACCTCTCAAATTAGACTTAAAATTATAACTTGGCTTGTTTTTTTTGTTTTGTTTTTTTTTTAGCTTTTTAACAGCAAAAGACAAAAGATATATTCACTACTTCTCATATTTTACAGTTTTAAAATCCTAGTTTCTTTGATGAAAGGTTTGCACTGAGTGAAGATAGTGGCATCCATGAAGCTTATTAACCAGACAATAGCAGTGAGTTTATTTTTTGTTGTTTGGCCAGCTCACTGCATTAACATTAACTCTGGCTGAGTTGCCAGTTGCCATTATAGCAGGCCTAAAGCTTTCATCTCCTACAACTTAAGACAAACCCTTTTATGTAAGCTTATAATTAAAATGTCAGCTCTTTAGACTTGAAAATTGCACTCTTTCAAATTGTGATTTTTAATTTAAAATTATAAGTTGTTCAGTCCTAGCATGATGTTTTTATATTTAATTATATCTAAATGTTGTTTCATTTTTTTTCCAGATCTCTGCTGGTTCATTTGGAGAATGGCTACTTTGGCCAAGGCTTTGATGAGTTTTGTCCACATCTGCAACACTACAACGTGTATGTGGACAACATCTATAATGCCAGCAAAGCACTTGGGGTAAGAACACAGTATTTCCACATGACCATCACACCTTAGTGTCAGGCTCTCATCACACTTGTGAGCATTTCACAAGCTGGTTATTACATTAGATTTGATTATATTAGATTTTAGTAACTCTGTAGAGAAACAGGTCAATGTATTCCTCAGCTATTGGACATTAACAGATGCGTATGTGGTTACTGGAATCTTTGTTGCTGACACAGTCAGTTCCACCTGTGTTAGTGATCAGAGTATTGCTATGGTAACACTTCAATATATGTACTGTATGACACAGCAGAACTTGACAGCTTGATGAATAGGTTAAAGAGCCCACTGCATGCTTATCCTTTTTTTGACTTATCTGCAATGTTATAACTTCTTAGATGTGACCTAAAGCTAAAATTAGGTGTACGTATGTTCTAATACTTCTATGCAGATGCAACATGGATCATACAAATCTTGCATACTCTGGCTCATGAGACTTTTTTCTAACAAAATTAAGTATTACGTGATAGTTTAAGGATTTTCTTGAATGGTCATAATCTCCAGGCGGTTGCGTGTTCATGTGAGCTTGCCTGACTTCCACCGGTGACACTGTAAAAGCAAAATTTTTTGACTGCATGCACTTTTCTGGATATGTTTTACCTCCTGCGGTTGCATGTGACCAGAGGATGTGTCGAAAAATACTGGGGCTGAGGTTACTGCATGACCAGGTATGTTCCTGTACAGGGACTCATTGTTTTACCTGACCGGGTCTAACCTACAAGCAGCCGGTTGATCAGCTGATCAACACTGGATTCCCTCAGGGCACAGTACCTGTTTGTTTTGACAGCTTGAGTCTAGTGTGTCTGTGATTGCATGCGATGTGATGTGGGTTAACGAGTGGATTAAGGATCCATGATGTTATCGTCAGTGCTATGCTACCTGTGGAATTAATTTCTGCTGCTTTGGGACCGTATGTGGTTGTGCGGGGGAAGACGCAGCGACCACCGGTTAGATTTACCAACCTTGGAGCTACTTGAAAGGGAGTGAAGTTTCCACTATTTCGTGGGTAGGTTTAAAGGGTAAGTTTAAAAGAAAATCCTCTCATCCTATCCTCTCATTTTTAGGAAGAGGCTCTCTGGTTTTATCATTCTGCAATAATTACAGACTATTTGGAGTTATGAGGGGTGCAAAGCTAATCTAGAGATATCCAAGATTAAACATTAAATGGCCATGGCCACTTTAAGTGTTTGTAATTTGAGCTCTAGATGAATAATGATTGTATCACACTACACAATTTGTGGATTTCTGGAAGTTACATGTTGGCACTGTTGTGAACAACATATGGGGGGAGTGACTGTGGTCCTGTTATCACAGTGAGCTACAGTTCCTTGCAAAAGTATTCATACCCCTTGAACTTTTCCACATTTTGTCATGTTATAACCAAACTTAAATGTATTTTATTGGGATGTTATGTGATAGGCCAACACAAAGTATCGCATAATTGTGAAGCAGAAGGAAAATGATACGTGGTGTTCTAGATTTTTTACAAATAAAAATCTGAAAAGTGCGGTGTGCATATGTATTCAGCTAAGCCATATGGATATGTCTTAGCTGTGTGGTAATAAAGAGGGGCTTGCCTGAGCACAGAAAAGACCATTTTGTTGTACAGCATCTTCTTCAACCCAGCTGATGTTACATTGGTCAGAAGTGGGATCTGCAGAGGTGATGACATCACTCTGGGAGATCAAACTGGAAGGAGTGACGCTTCAAACCAGAGCAGATGTCCTGGTAGCCTCATCAAGATTGCCTTCCATCCCGCTCTCAGCAAGAGCCTGCCATAATGAGACGGCTGAAGGAGCCTCCTCCAGCCTGCAAGGCAGGACAGAGGAGCCATACCGAAGCGCCAGCACTACAGCTTTGACCAGACCACAGCATGGAGCCAGGTGAGCCAGTGAGGGCTTGTACAAGAGGAGCGCCTGCGTGGTCAATGTGCTGAGGCTGGGACACTGCCACATGACAGGCAGCAGCCCCACAAGCTGTTCCCCTTCCAGCAGAGGTGGGGGATCCCGTGCAGCCTGTAGGGGGCTGACCCAGCGCTTGCATGCTCCCTGGCAGCAGGACCATGTGGGAGCACTGATGGATGAGGGTCCTCGCCAGATGTGGGACCGGGATGCTTGCAGCTCACTAGAAAATTTTGTTCCTGGTGTGCTGTTGTGGGTGTATAGCCCTGGACGGAAGAAGTGTTTGTCTCCACAGTCAGCGAACCAGTGAAGTGGAACCTGTACTGTATTGAAAAGACTACTGAACGTGGTGTACAGGGTGCTACTGAGTAAGTGGAACCGCGTGGTGCTTCACAGGGAGAGAGACACATGGTTGGTCACAGCCCTATATACGCCACCTTGGCTTCCCCAGAGGGGGGGGACAGTCGGACAACAGGGGCCAACCATGAGCTCCAGATCCCTCTCCACCAGCCTCAGGAGCCATTAGAGTGCTCTCAGCACCAGCACAGGCTCCCCCAGCGCTTAAGGGACTTTGTTATGACTATGGTTATTGACGACAGTTGACCAGTGAGGTAGGGGTTGTGTAGTGTTGTTTTTGTATTTTTGTGGCCCAAGGTTTCAGAAGAATTCTGGTTGGGAACAAGAAAATATTCTCTTAAAGAGCCCATGGCATTCTCATTTCCAGCCATTTAATGTTGAATTTTTGGGAACCTCTAGATTAGCCTTGCACCCATCATAACTCCAAATAGTCTGTAATTATTTCAGAATGATAAAACCAGAGAGCTTCTTCCTAAAAATGAGAGGACAAGTCCTGAATGCACCCACCTCTTGCTGCCGGTGTTGTATCAACATTGGATGGCACAACCACCTGCAACAGCATTAAATAATTTGATTTTCTCCTCCATAGATACTGTAGGTAAACAACGTTATATATATTTAAGGTGTCACCGGTGGATATCAGGCAGGCTCACATGAATGCGCAACCGCCTGGAGGAAATCCTTAAAATATCACGTAAGACTTAATTTAGTTAGAAAAAAAGTTTTGCAAGCGAGAGTTTGTGAGACTTGTATAAACCGAGTTGCTAGAAGTATTAGAACATACGTACACCTAATTTTTTGAGCTTTAGGTCACATCTAAGATGATAAGGAGGGTGATTAATTAATTTTTATTTTCCTGCTATATAATCCTAAAATACTGAACAGCCCAGGATAACCCTTATTGCACCTTTGCAAAACTGTCTTCTAAATATTCTAAATGTCTTGACTGCTGTCTTAGATCCAACTAAAGAAAAACAAGGCATTCAGACGTTTTAAGAGACTACAGGAAACCCGACCAGAGTTCAACAACCATACGCTTGAGGATTTACTTCAACTTCCCATTCAGCGGATCAATCAGTAAGTTTTCCTTTTTCCTACTCTATAAATGAAAAGGCCAGATGTTACTTTTCTTCTTCTCAGATGACAGACTTAGTGTTACTGTAACGCCACAAGTTGGGTCAGTATGAGATAAAAGGGACATGCTCATTTTGAGGTTCATATTTTTTATTTCTGAGGCCTACTAGAAAATGTTTACATGCTTACATTCTTAAAGTACATTTTCCTCATTTTGTGCATCTTTTTAGCGGCTCTCTTCACCCTCTGTCTAAAATGGTCTATCTATGCTCCTGTCTCTGTAAGGTCTCTTTTCCAAAAAGCCCAGTAGTGGTCACCCCCCACAGGCCTGAGCAGGAACCCCCTTCCAAACTCCAAACCTCTTATTGGTCATGATCAACTCTGAAGCAGCTGTCTACTGCGTTTAGCTGTACTGTTGCAATGAAAATCACCACAATAATCGCTATTGAGCCAAATATAAAACACATATTCAAGTCAAATCTGAAATCAAGAAGAAATTCAAGACTCAAAGTGTTTATTGTGCAAAGTGAGGAAACGTGTTTCCCTGTACAATGAAATTCTTACTTTGCTTTCCACAATGAATACCAAACATTGCAAGGTGAAATATAAGGTAGATAAATAGTACACAAAGTCTAAAGGTGTTTAAAAACAGCAAGTGGAGACAGATTATGCTACATCAGAGCTGGATCTGGAATAGGGGGGAGTGAGTGTGTAGTTATGCGTGTGCAAACTTGGAATGTAAACAGTACAGGTGGAATTGCATGAAGTAAGTCCTGATTATAAACTCCTTCAGCTGTTTAGGAGTCTAATGGCAGTTGGAAATAAAGAGTTTTTCAGTCTTCACACTTTTGAACCTCCGGCCTGAGGGAAGGGGTGTGAACAGCCCATGCTGGGGGTGGGTGGGGTCCGTGAGGATGGAGGCAGCTTTTCCTCTGACTTTGTGGCAGTAGATGCTCTGCAGAGAGGGCAGTGTAGTCTTGGTGATCTTCTCCGCAGTCTTTACCACTCTCTGCAGGCGCTTGCGGTCCACAGCAGTAGTGCTGCCATACCAGACAGTGATGCAAATTAATGCTGGAAACTAAGATCACAGGTTTTTGTGACATTTTCCTCAGGTAGATACTGCTGTTATTTTGATTTGACATGCTGTTAGATTAGTATTCATGCACAAGCTTTCTAAACTGTTAGTATAAACTTGTGTTTGTGTCAGCGTCGAGCCCTGCATACAATGGCGTCATATGCATGCATCAAGCGTGAGTAGAGGAAAGGTGCTCATTCATGGTGCCATCTGTAAATGTCACCTTTTGCACTCATGCAGCCCTATATCATCACACTCCCATGCTTCGTTTGGACTTTGCATTCACTATGGCAGTCCTGGCAAGTTTCACGCTAAACATGCTGGACCCCGAGCAAATTTGTCAATACAGTTTTCAATACCATGGGGAAAAGTGGGCACACAACTGTATGACTTTTTGTGGCTAATAGCAAAGAATCGCAGAATGACTATAGTCGACAGTACCAAAATTTTGTACTTTTTTTTTTTTGCATGAATGTAAACAATATTCTCCTTGAGGTAATACACATGTTCAAGAGCCTCCTGGATTGTCACACATACATGTCTCCTTTCTGCACAAAAACAGTAGGCTTCTGAGTTGTCAGACTGTATTTTTTATCATACAGCTTATGCACCAGATAAATAATTATATTTACATACCAGTAGAATGTTCCCAGCCAATGGATTTTTTTTCTGCCAGAATATCTGATTTTCTACCACAATGTCAGGTTTTTTGACTGTAGCATTATTTACAGTTTTATTATGGTTATGTGTAGACGTTCACAGCTCTTGGTTAAGAGAGAATTTTCTGTAGGAAAATACAGTGGATCATTCATTCAACAAAATGGATTGCATCGGACTATAATTCAATAGTCAAAATATGTTTCCTATAAAATGTATCTGTGTTTGTAGTGTTGTTGTACAGACAGGAATGTAATTTTTATGAGAGAGGTTTGACTGCTTTGTCCTCATAAACTGAAATGAAAATCTACAAACTATTAAACTAACATCACACTCCACACACAATATTTATCATGATCTAGAGCAAACCCTGATCACAGGGCTTTTTCTTTACTTCAGTTTCTAAGAAGGCATACATTATATTATGGGCTAGGATTTATGAATGCACAAGGTGTTGTACCTGTGAGTGAGCTGAGCACTACCTACAGACAATATAATTGTAACTCATGCCGTCCTGCACAACAAATGAAGAACGACGATAGTAAAAGTGGCCAATTGTCATTACAGAGTGTGACACATTGAATGCCTCCGTGGATTAACGAATCCCTATTATAATGTGAAAATTTTGCCTGTGTATATGGTGTGGTTATGAGGCTAGCAATGGGGATAATCATTTTGGAATAATATGAGAATGCTCCCATGTACTGTATAATAGGATGTTTTTCTCATTTTCCCATGCATGGTATTGCATGAATGCAGCATGACTTCAACAAAAACGTACTATAAAGTAGGCTCCAGGTCAATAAAAATGTCCTAGAAATATTTCCTTTACAAGAGTCGGTGGCTTGTTTGCTCTGATGTAACCAACAAGGAAAATAAGATCACCCTCCTTCTCACATATGAGTATGCTGACCACTGTTGTATTTGACTGTGACACATAATCAGTTGGATCCATTCTCACTAACTCACCCCTCTTGTCACTCTGCCTTTTTTTCTGCACTTTCAATCATCATCAGTGATTCATCTGTCATTCTCAGTGAAACTCAGTAAGCCTGAGGGATGTGCCCCATTGTATGATGATTTTAAGTGGCATGGCTAGATAATCATCCTTGACTGGTGCCTTACTGTGCTCTTGCTTTGTGGCTGGGAATAGCAGGAAATCACTTATCACCATTCAAGGATGATGGATGGCGAGCAGGCCCTGGAGTGTGGATACTTATGTTGTTGCTGGGGGAGGAATAAAATCATTTTCCTTATTAAGTGGCATTCAACAGAACTGGCTGGAGCAGTCGTTGGCATCCTCCCAGCTGAGCTCGTCATTATGACAGTGATGGGCTCTCGAGTTGATTGTTGCAGTGAATAGCAGACTTCTCTGCCTGTACCGAGCTTGAGTTTGTGTTGATAATAGAGGTGCAGTCCTTAAACAAATGGTAGCAATTGGAGGCCTTGGGATATAGTGTATCTGTTATAAGCTGAACACCATTTAGTATAACAGGAAAATGTCCCAGTGGTAGACTCACTGCAGAGAGTGAGCATGCTCTATATAAAGGCCGTACAACTACAGAGGTCTTAGGGTCAATGTCATACTTGCTTACTATTGAGAAGTGTGTAGCTGTGTGCTGTTCTAACCATCCTTGATGTTGTTTTTCATTTGTCAAGGTGGGATTTCAAATTGACTCAGGTAGTTCCATCATCTCCCACAGTGAAACACAATAAGTTTCTCCAACACAGGGTCAGTGTTTTGATTAATTTCTTTTGAAAGGATTCTGAAAAATGGAGGCTTTCTTAAGTGGCTTCTTTTTGTGGGATGCAGGTACCTGGCTGTATATGAATCAAAAATTTGTGTTTCATTGTCTGTCAAATGACCCAGTAGTTCATTGCCAGGTTTGAAGTGAGGCTTGTAATGAAACAAATGTGAATCATTAGTTAGTTCTTTTGACCTTCAATGTAGACGCCACACTTCTTGGCTACAAAAAATTTGAAATTTGTGATTAGTGAATGAGTATTTCAAAATGAATTGATAAATACAAACCTATTGGTTCTTATTTTTAGGGCTCTGTTTGTGTTGTCCAGGTTGCCACTGTGGACCGATGGGTTAATTATTATGGAGTGGAGCCAGTTTTCACTGTTCAGAAGTACTCAACACATTTTTCATACATTTCAAGCTTTACCCATAAGGTGCTTTAATGTATTTGATCACTTGTAAACAGACAACATCAGACTTTGCAGGTGTGAAGGAAACAGGTCTTGCTATTGTCACAGCTTGCACCAGCAGTGTCAAGGCAGCTAAGATGGCCTGTTGAATATCTGTCTAAGCTCTATAGTGTCTAAGCTGGGAGAAAAACAGAGTGGCCCGCCAGGAAAATTCTCAAACCTACCGACAGCTAAGCTGCACCTGCCAGGTCAGGTTAGCAAAAAGAGAGTACAGTAGTTTAGGAATATTTTTTTCCAGTAATGCAGGACACAGCAGAGTGGGACGTAAACCTTTACTAACCAAGTGAACTGAAACTAACTGTAATGGAATCATAATGTGTATGGGTGATGAAAAAACGACTTATTTCCCTTTGCTGCACCAGCATTCTCAGCTCTGGTGCAGAGTGCTGTAAATTTGGCTTAACCACTTTTGAACCAGTATGAACAGAACAAATGTAGCAGAGCAATACATTGTAAACAACACGTTACGCATGATCAGCCATGAGTTTAATGCAACAGTTTCAAAATATTGTAATTATAGATGTATGTTAATATTTGAAACTTAACAGTATCTTAGTATTTAGCAGATTTGAATACAGTAGAGCAACAACAATTAGTTAATCAATTAGTCAATCAACAGAAAATTTTAAGGGTCAGCTCTGGATCAGCTTTATTCTGGCCAATATTGATCCTGTGAAATATGCCTGGATCTGTGCTGGTACCTATACTTAGTATTGGATCGGGAAATTTCTAATAATAGTTAGTTGCCGACTTAAAATACACTAACTCTGCCGATGTTATCTTACGGCATTATTGGGTAATAGTCTTCAAAACTCAGTCCAGCAAGTGCTAAGTGCTTCTTGGATAACCACCAATGTGTTGTTGACACATTACATACTAGTGGTTGACCGATGTGGATTTTTCAATGGCCAATGCCGAAAATTTATTTTCTTTTTCATTTTTCTTTTTGAGAGCAGAGCGGCCAATGGCCAATATATAATACTGATAACATGCCCCCCACCCCCCAAACTTATTTATCGGTCGACCACTATTACATAAAATACAAACATGGTCACACTACACAGTTGTCATTTTCCAGTACATTTCATTCCACCCATGCCACCAAATGGACCAGTTACCGGGTTGCACAGTCTTGATAGCATCACTAACAGTCTCTCTCAGTGGCACCATTATGTCTCTTAAACAAGACCAGACTGCACAAATACAGGGACAGACACAGTGGAAATCGATATCAGTTGTCAATGCAGTTCAAGGTCACATCGTCCTAGTAGAAATAAAAAAGCTTACTGAGGAAGCTGATGCTGTTCATAAATTGCATAACAATTGCTTAATGTCAACACAGAGGGATTGCTTAGGTTGAAATGTGCAGTTTATAGTTTTACATTTTATATTTTTATAAATAGAATTGATGTCTACTTAGTTTGTTTTCATTTAATTTTTACACAGTGAAATAATAGAGGTAGGTGGAGGTACACCGATCATTAGTAAAAGTGACTGCCAGGGCAGAACCTATGGATGTAAATGTTGGGGTCTGGTCTGAGTAAGGTCTGAGCTACATTTCCAGGGGCCAAATAAAAGCAACTTATTTTAGCTAACAAATTAAACAGTTCCACTGCTGCAAGACTGCAGGGTTGAACT